AACATTTAAAAATGTTTTCGTTTTATTTATTAACTTATTTTTGTTTTTGTTTTTTTTTAATCAAAGAACAATTTTTTTTTAATAACAACAATACGTACTCAATAAAACTTTTATCGGCCATACGTTACTTTAATTATCAGTTTCAGTGTGAATTTCTGGTGACTAAATTCATTGATAATTTAATGAAATTAATTTTTTTTCAGAGAATCTAATTTTTTAGAAATCTACAATTTTTTTTTATTCAAACAAAAAAATGGAAAACCGAAAAATAAGGTGGCCAATAAATCGTTAGCGGTTTTTTACCTTAATGTATTTATAAAATCAAATAATTTCTTGGATTTTTAGGTTTAAAGTAAGATTTGTAAACAACTAACTTTTTCAATTTAAAATTGTTACAGTATCTTTTTTGATCAAAAGTCGATATAGTATTGATCTAAAAACAAAATATGGAGACGATGACTTTTTCCACCAAGCTATTATCAATAATATTAAAGTAGACACGAGTCAAACCCTACAAAGACCAGACCTCGTCGATGTACGAGTGTTTGCCCGGCAGTAAGATATGTTTGCCCGCTCAAACCAACGACCCATTTTTTTCCTCAAAGCGATGAACGCGACGGCTCTGTTTTTTTCGCTTTTCTCTTCGTGCTCAGCGATCCTGCACCCTTTTTCTCCTACTTTTTTTTTCTTTTTTTTTTTTTGCTCGATAAATACCCGTCTGTGCAGTAAACTTTCTTTGTACTTTCATATAGTTCTTCACACCCTTGTGTCAAAACTCTGTATATTTTAGATATACCGATGGATTTCATAACTTGTTTTTTTCTTTTAATATCCACCGATCATATTTACTGTACTTTTAACTACTAGTTACGTCCAGTGACAAAGAAAGCCTTTTTCGATTCCACGCATTCTTCTGAACAGTAAAATGTACATACTTTCACTTGGTTGGATCATAATTAATTTTTTATATGGTCTAAACGTGCGTGTCGTATGTAAAATAGTTATCTTGACTGTAAAGAACTGTTTGAAATTTTTAAGTAATAAGCTGTTATCTAGATAGATACGATATGGCTAAAATCACTTGTTTCTAGTAAAAAAAAAAAAAAAAAAAATCCTATTGAGCTCAGT